TTACAGAATACAAATTTGATAATTTGAACATAGCAGGATTTGTGACTCTGATTGGGCAGCTGATCTAGATGACAGAAGATCTACAAGTGGATTTTGTGTTTACATTGGAGGGAACTTGATATCTTGGAGTTCTAGAAAACAAAGTTCTGTCTCAAGGTCTAGTGTAGAAGCTGGATACAAAAGCCTAGCTCATGCTACTTCTGAAGTTGTGTGGTTGAAGAGCTTATTTTAAGAACTTTAGTTTTTAGCACAAGAAAGACCAGTGATATGGATAGACAATCTCAGTGCAATTGCTATGGCATCTAATCCAGTGATGCATGGAAGAACTAAGCATGTGGAGTGTTTGCCTCATTTTTGTTGCGTTTTTCGTGTTTATTTTATCTTTCCTTTTCCCCCATTTTAGGTCGTTTCTTTAGTTTTTAGTCTGTTTCGTGTTTTATTATGTGTTTTCCTTCATCTTGAGTCTTTAGGTGTTTTTCTTTTGTTTTTCCGGTTTTCTTTTGTGTTTTGTCGTTTTTGGTGTGTAGGTCAGGAGCTTCGGGAGAATTTTCTCTTCAAAAAAAGTTGGTTTTGAGAGCATAACTGGATAGATGGGTTCGTTGGGGACGCATAGCAAAAAACGAAACTCAATTCCGAGTTCGAACGAGTCCAAACGAGCTCGAAACATAAAGCAGCACGCAGCTGCCCAGTTTACTTCACCGCGGCCGCGGAGGAGAGGTCGCGGCCGCGAGGTCCCCGAAAGCCCCTTTTCTGGCCTGTGGATGTCGCGGCCTCGAGTAATGTCATGGCCGTGGACCTTCCTTCTCCGCGGCCGCGGAGGTTGCGACCAGAATTTTAAAAGCTAAATTTTGTTCGTTTTTTCGGGGACTTTTCATGGGGACTCGTTCCCAGACCGAAAAAATCCCCCAAAAACCCATTTTTTCCCTTCTCTTACCCTAAGAAAACCATCTTGATCTTGTTTTTCACTTGTATTTCTTCATTACTTTCGGATTAATCTTGTATTTCAGATTCAACTCTCAATTCCGTTTTAATCGTAAGTTTTCTATTCATTTAATCCATGAATATGATTGCTTTGATTGTTGTGGTTGATGGTGTTGAATTGAATATGAGTGGCTAATTCCTTCTGCTAGGGATAGGGGATGATTGTTCTCTTTTAACTTGTATTTTTCGGGCTTTTTTCGTTTGTTCTTGTGCGAGTAAATTTAATTAGGAATTGATGAATTCTTGCTTGATGATTTGATATAACCTAAGAGTGACACTTAGGTTAATTTAATGATATAATCGAAGAGTGACACTTCGATTTTGCGCTTGAATATTGATTTGTTGAGTTAGAGTTTATTGATCCTACATGATTAGTTGATTAAACACTTTCTAATTGAATTAGCGACTTTTAGAACCGAAAGGGGAGAAGTCGTAGACCTAGGCTCGCATGAGATAGATGATTTGGTAACTGAATAATCTATGGATTTTGGATTGAATACATACTTGTCGGTGTCTTGTCCCTTGTTACGAAAAGTTATTGGGATTGGATACTTGGCCGGTATTGTATGCTCAAACTTGCTCGTCTATGTTCAATTCCTTGTTAAAAAGAGTTATTGAGAGTGAACCGCTAGACGTGTAGGCGAGAGTGTCAATTCCGAACCGAACGATCAATTGCCTGGCTTTACGTTGCGAACTTGAATAAATTATCCCCGATTCCCTAGTTTCTTTATTATTATTTAGTTGGTATTTTAGGATTTATGCTTTTATGCTATTTCTTAGTTGATAGTTAATTCCTCCCCAATCTGATTAGAGTGTTTAGGATTTATTTTTCTTTTTTTTTTTTGTGTTATCAATACCAATTCTAAATTCCGAACCGCCTTCCTCGAGAGATCGACCCGAGAAACGAATCTTTCGATTCGGTACTCGGTAATATAACAATTTGTACACAACGACGCCAAATTTGATGTGTACAAATTGTTATATTACCGAGTACCGAACTCGGAATTGAGTTCTGTTTTTTGCTATGCATCACCAACGAAACCATCTATCCAGTTATGCTCTCAAAACCAACTTTTCCTGAAGAGAAAATTCGCCCGAAGCTCCTGACCTACACACCAAAAACGACAAAACGCAAAAGAAAATCGGAAAAACAAACGAAAAACACCTAAAGACTCAAGATGGAGGAAAACACATAATAAAACACGAAACGGACTAAAAACTAAAGAAACGACCTAAAATGGGGGAAAAAGAAAGATAAAATAAACACGAAAAACGCAACAAAAATGAGGCAAACATGGAGCTCGATTATCACTTCGTTCGAGAAAAAGTTGCAGGAGGAGTTCTTGAAGTGAGACATGTTCCTAGCCGTTTTCGAGTAGCAGATATTTTGACAAAACCCTTAAATGAGCAATCCTTTACTCAATTGAGAAACCAATTACACATTGTTACTCAACCAAGCTCGAATTGCGGTGGAGTGTTAAAAGACATGCATGAAGAAAATGGCACGTGAATCTTGGCCTATGCAATTGCATACAATGGCAGTTATGCCATATCCTCTCCATAATCCCCACTACTTAGTGATCAATTTTCTTTTTTATTTAGTGCATGATTTTTGTATAAATACTGATGTTATGTCCAGTGTTCGACATGTGGAAAAATCCGTTTTATCATCTTATGTATCATGTTCAGTTATGAAATGGAAAACACTGATTTTCATCTTCTTGTCATGTTCAAGTTTACCATGATTTTCAAATACACCAAATAATTTTAGCAAACATTTGGCAACTTTTTTGTTGGTATTGTTTTCAGATCAAGACTTGGTGGGTCATTGGCAAACTCAAATATTTAGGAAGCAATAGGTCTATATGGAAAGCCACTTGCAACAACTGCCGCAAAAATTACAATGTGCCACCAAATACGCCTATGAAATGTTGAAGCTGCCAGGAAGATTCCCACGTTGAAGCAAGGTACAAACTAAACTATAATGGCATGATTTGTATGATGGAATGGAATTTCGTAGGAATGGAATGAATTGAAGAATGAAATGATTATGAGAATGAAATGAAACATGTTTTGTCATTGATGCGTTTGGTATGCAGAAGGAATATGACTGGAATGGAATGACATTATCATTTTTTATTATAAAAATAAATAAAAGCTTTTTTTTAAAAAATAATATACTTTTAATAAATTATATATAAATGCTTTTTTAATAATTTATAAAAATAAAATAATATATTTTTAATAATATATAAAAATAAAATAATACATTTTTAAATTATATATAAAAATAATATATTCTTAAAAGTAATATATTTTGAATATATAAAAAATAATATATTTTTAGTAATATTTAAAAATAAAAAGTAATATATTTTTAATAATATATATTTTATATATTTTTCATTAATATATTTTTAATAATATATTATTAAAATTAATATATTTTTAACATATAAAAAATAATATATTTTTAATAATATATAAAAATAAAATAATATATTTTTAAATTATATATAAATGCTTTTTTTAGTTTTATTTTTATATAAGTATTTAATATATCTAATTAAAAAATAAATAAAAGTAAGTTTTCAATTATTTTATTTGATTTTTTTTATAATAATTTTATTTAATATATTTTAATCATGATTTATAATATATATTATATTTTTTTTTATTATTTGTTAATTTTATTTTTTGAAAAATTGATTCCTACACACATGAGAATGAGAAAACCTTTCATTTACTATAGAATGACTAAAAACCCATTCTTATTGGAATGGTTATTCTTTCCCAAACAATATACCAATCATGGGATAAAGAATAAGTAAATGAATGATTATTTCATTCTCATGTCATTCCTTCCTACCAATCATGCCATAAATGAAAACATCATTTTATGCTATAAATAAATGATAGTAAAATGTAACTGCTTATGATTTAGTGTTCAACTATTTATTTTTTAGGCTTAAAGCTTAAAAAAAAATTGCGTTCACTTGTATATATCACTTGCTCATCGGACGATGCTTTGTCTTCCTAGCATTTTTATTGATCGATGTACTTATATACATTTAACACTCAAAAGTTTGACTGAACAATCCTACGATTTGGTGCTTATTAATACTAGGACCGTAGGCCTCTTCCATTGTTTCTAAATTTTGTTGTTCAAATGCTATCTATTTATCCTCCTTCGTTATAATCTTCTGATCAATTAATTATAATATTTCTGAATGCCTCGTGTAACATAACTGATTGTCACATTTTTTTATGTTCTATTGATCAAGACAATGTAGTTTTTTAGTTAGTTTTCACAAATGACTAATTTTGTAGATTGAGGAATAATTGAAACAACATGAAATGTCTTATAAAACTATTTATTTAAAATTGAAATGTATTAACTTTTATTGAATTCCAAACATTTAGGTGTCGATTGCCAATTGCAATTTAAGATGAGACAGGCAACATACATGCAATGTTATATGGTTCAGATGCAGAGCGGATTATTCCATTAAATGGGACTGAATCGTATGGAGCTAAGCAACAAGTTAGCGTAACGTTTTAAATTCTAATTATTTTTTAGATAAAAAAATTTCTTTTCTGCTGTATGACTTACAAAAACTAACCATACTGTTGTTGTGCTTTCGGATACACATGTTGCAACTGCTTCGAAAAATTTACAAATAAAATGAATAAATTTCTACTAATAAAAGAAACACTATAATAACCTCTGCATACAATTCCCGGCCTACTTGCTTAAAAAACTTGCACTATTTATTTGTTTGTCTCAGTTCCATAGTAATAGATCACACATCCAACTCGACTCCATAGTAACACCAAAATAATAAAAATCATTCTTCCATGACATACACCTTATTTGAAGGGCTGAATTGGGCGGGGCTGCCTTCTAGTAATGATATGCAATGCATAAGAAATTCACGTAGAGTTCAAAGCATTTGATTAATAAAGCCAACAAATTCCTTGAGTTCAACTAGTATGAACTTTCGAAAAAAAAAAAAAAAAAAANAAAAAAAAAAAAAAAAAATAGTATCTGAATTATGGTATTTCAATCTGCGCAAAATATCCTCCAATAGGGTGGAGTCGACAGGAAGTTGTAATATTAATGTCACACACCAAAATTAATTTGTCTATATATACCACTACGCAGTCATCTTCGAATTATGCTAAACAACAGCATCATTGAACGAAAGGACAAGACTTACATGTGATTTTTATGCACCCGAAATGTAAAAATGAAGAACAATATATATACACAAAGGATCAACATTATGAGATCATCGGGAATTGCCCACTACATAGATATAAATAACGCACATTACAAGCGACATTGCCTTTTCTTTCCTTCATTAAGAAGCGTTTTGCTCTTCCAATGCAATCAAGTGTTAAGAAAAATCTCGTATGTCTCATCATAAACTCGCTCCTTTCATTCTTCTACTGCTTTATGTAAAGTGCACAACAAACAAAAGTGTAATCAGAATAACATGCCAATAGCCAAGTCCCCATGTATAACATAGAAAGACTAATTACAAAAACACCCTGATGTTTAGCTTACAGCGTAAAAGAAAGAATCCAGTGGAACCAACTAGCTGTGGTATCCATAATTTGAAGGAAAGCCTTACTCAAAAAGGACCAAATTCAATGGTTGGTATATATGGTAATTATTTGTTAATAAGAGGTTAGTGACGGAATACCTCAGGAGGACCCTGTGATGGTGGCAAACTCTGATTATCTTCAACAGGTACTTCAGATATTCTAGCTTCAGATTTCTCATTTGAGTAACTGCCAAAAGAAAATGAGATAAGAATTTGTGAGCACTCAGTACACACTGATATCATTTCATTCACTCATGACAACGGATTTACACCAAGCTAGAGGATGCCTAAAACATGTTAAGTTCTTCCATTTACAAATAACTGTGTTCCTGAAAAAAATAATAATGAAAACTAACAATTCATGTATTACCTACCTAAAAATCCCTTGAAATCGTATACTTATATATTATTTCTTAATAATTATTCTTTCTTTCCATACTTTTACTATTTTATCTATATTTATACTTTAATTACTCTCTTTCCATATTAAAATTTCTTATACTATACAACTAGAAGAATAGTATAAAATGACAAATTATTAAAAACTGAAAAATACAACCAAAACAACACTTATTTGTAAATGCAGGGAGTACTCAATCCCTCATATAATTTCAGAACGCGCTGAGCCTAAGTGGCAGCTTCGCATCCTTATCTTATGTAGCAAAATATTAAGTGTTGTAATATGACTCATATTAAAATTACTATTTTATTTATACCAAAAACTTGGGTTTGGATTACCATAAATACAAATATTTGATATATTCAAACTATCCATATAAATCTATTAATTATCTTCTTTCTATTATGTGCATACTATCGCACTTTCCAAATTTTGTATTTCGACCATATTATTCTCTTATGTGTTTTAAATAAAAATATTATACATAAAACTAATGATGTATATAAATTAGTTTCATGAATTTAAAATAATATTGTTAATTCACTTAGTTCTTTATTTAATCCAACTTCAAGAAACTCACTTAGTTGTTTATTTTATCCAACTTCAACAAAATATATAAATATTTTTTTCTTTCGATTTTTGTTGTACATTTAACTTATTTTATTGTAGTACACGCCACACGGGTGTCGCACTAGTAAGAAAATAAAACAAAATAAATTGAATAATTTAAGTTACACCCCGACTCTAGTAAAACCCTAGATGGCGAACTCGGCTTATTTTAAGATCCCAATCTTGATTGAAATTGTTCAAACTTTTCTATCATAAAAAAATCAAGCTAATACTAGGTTGAAGAATAGTCTAAAACGACACATTATTATTAAAAAAAATCTAAAACGACACTTAGTTGTAAATGGATGGAGTACACAATAATAAAAGTAGACAAAACAAAATGACTAAAGTTAGGTACCCCCAACTAAAGTAGAGATAGAAAAGCAAAATTCTGTGGCTTAGAGATAGAAAAGTAAAACTCTGGGTGGCTTAGAGATAGAAAAGCAAAACTCTGGGTGGCAAACTCGGCTTTTGTTTTAATATTCAAATCCTGATTAAAATTGTGCAAATTTTGTCTCATAGGAACATCATAATTAATACTAGATTGTTATTGATTTCGGAAAGAATTCAAATCATCAAAGGGTAAAATTATTACTCTTTGGGGCTGGTTAGGGATAAGTATGACAACCATTATCTGTTATCTGGGAAACCATGTCACCATGAAATTTCGCATAAAGACGAAGTTAGTCTTAGGAAAATGCTTACGTTGAAAGTATTGTGACCCAAATGAGTTCGACACAATCAACCCAAAGAAGCCTTTGCTCAACAGGGATCACGCCATACGTAACTAGATGAGCAAAAGGCCAAAGCTTCCATCCTGCCTGAAAAGAATAAAAAAGGGAACATTTTAGTTACACGATCGCAGAGTAATAAGCATAATATACAAAATAATACAATTCATGTTCCTATAGGAATCCCAGAAGAATGCAATTGTATGTGATGTTTATGACATGGAGGACCATTTAAAGTTTATCAGCGAAGAATTAAGCAACAGACACTAACATAAAAAATAGTAGTTTTATAACAATAGCCAAGTTACATAAGTTAATCTGCGAAGAACAAAACAGAATCTTGGGAAACTATAATAAGCTCATGCATATACTGAAAATTTCCAAAATTAACAGAAAACAATTAGGGAGTGAAATCAAGCTAGTTCATCCAAAACCAATAAAGTTATGCGGCCCAATACAGTTACTATCTCAGTGGCTACCGTGAGCAATTGTTAAAAAAAAAATAATAATAAAATAAAATAAAATCTGCAGCTGGTACTTAGAAGTAAATTCTATGAGAAAAAAAAGAGTAATTTCAAAGTAGAGTAGAAGTTCTTACAGTTAACATCGGCCAAAATGTAGCCTTCCACTCGCTATAGATACTGACAGGTGACTCAAGGCGCAACATGCCCAAAAGCGTATAGTAAATGCTGTTCCAGACAGCAGACCATGCCGTCTGATCAAAGATAACTTTAGCAGGAACCACCCACCAATCGTCAAAGGGAAACAAAGCCTGAAACAGCAGCATAAGCCATCAGAAATGATCCTGGTTATCACATTCAATAAAAAGAAGATAAAAACATAGCAATTAATTACCTCACAGAATTGGTAGTAATAATGAGAAAGGGACCCATGCAGTGTAAAGCCAAGTAAACCAGATCTGAACATTCTTGCTCGATCAAATTCAAATATAGGCTTTCCCTCATAGCACTATAACAATCATGCAAGTCATAATAATTAAATGAAACCACCATAAAATTTGCAACTATGATAGTAGTTTCTTCATGGAGTAAGTTTCATTTAATGGATCTGTCTAACCTGTGCAATCCAATCTCCCACGGAATAAACAACTCCACTGATTATCATTTTTGCAAATACTGGATTTGTCTTAAGAGCTTCCTCATAAGCACTCCAATTGTGTTGGGGTGCATATCTCAATATTTCAAAGAGAGTCCATCCCTGCAGGAACAAAAACTCAGATATGCAATATATTGATGCACAGGCATGTGATACAATAATAACACTTAATGGATCACATTGATGGTGATCAAAATGGGATGGGCATAAGGAAGCAGGAAATGTATAGAAGTAAAGTGGATAAGAGATTATATACCCACCTACATGCCATTCAAATAGCAAGAGAAAGCAGTGAATTAGAATTCAAGCAAACTCCCAAAAAAAATAAATAAATAAAAAAGAATGCAACCAATATATAAGATACTGCATTTTATTTATTATATATATACATATATATATATACAAGATAGTTCAAATGGTTAAAATAACTGATATCATAAGCCACCAAACATTTTCTGTTTTTCAAACTCCATTTGAAACTATAGATAGACTCGCTGAAAATCAGTAAATGGTTTGGGACAATGAGAATCTTGTTTTCATAGTCCTCAGCATGATTTACTGGTAGACTTCTCCCACCACTTCCAAATAGAGAAATATCTCTTGGTTAACTAATAAAACAGAAAGATGATGCAGTTCTTCTAAACCATATTATGAAGTCATGTAAAAACCGTTAAGTTTCCTGTTTTAACCAATAAAAAAAAAAAACAACTTTTGGTACTTGATGCATCTGAGGCATACCCTCTTTGCAGAAGCAGCGGTGATACACTTACCAAACCCAGCCGGATGGTAAACAGATTATTGGAAAGGCTAAACAAAATTCAAGGTATCTTAAAATGAAAACAGGTGCTGACCAAGAAACAAGCTCCTTCAATTTTGAACACAAATTGCAAAAGTCGATCCCAGTGGCCAATGCTCAGAAATGATTGCAAGAACTTAATACGACAATTGACATCAAGAAACAATAGTCACCTGCCAATACTCATGGTCAATGGTAAGCAGCTTGGTGATGGCAAAAGAGCCGGCAGCCAACACTATAGTCGCGTTAATAGCCCTATCGATCAACCTCCCCGTTTTCTCCTGATTTTGCCCTTTGCCGGACTCCGGCGGTCCACCTACACCAGAAGCTGAAGAAGAAAACCCAGCTGCACCATCGAACGATAACATCCCCGCGCTTTCACTTCCAAAACCCCCAACCACCTGATCCACTACCTCCGACCTCTCGGCCTCGCTCTCCATACAAACGACGCCGCCCTGCTGCTCCGCACACTCGTCACTCTGGTCAAGGTCTCCGGCAACTGATTTCACCAGCTGCAGAGGTTGTCTTCTGTAATTTGGTTTCAGTGAAATCATGGCGGCAGCGGGCGGCGGCTGGGATTTTGGGGAGAAGATACGCTTGTTCGGATGGGTTTTGAGTTTCGGAGTGGAGAGAGAAAGGAAGGATTGAGGTGTGACGGCGGTGGCCATTGTGGTAGGTGGCCGAAGGCCGGCGATCGAAGATCCACACCCTTTAGTACCCTTTAGTGAGTCAACTCGAACCGATTTTTGTGGATTGGGATTTTGGTGGTTTTAAACGTTTAATATGAGATGCGAGGTGTGGGTAGTCTTCATCGGCGTGGAATGGTAGATTCCGGTATGGGTAAATCCAACCGACTTTACGGGACCCGAAAGCCACGTGGCACAGCTTTGGAGCAGTACGAACCAATAGATTTTTTTGGGGGTATAATAACCACACAAAGCCTATCATAATATAAAATCATGTCAATGACACTCCTCTGTTTCTAATTGTTGTAGTTTAAATCTTAAAATTAGGGAATTTAACAGGTTGACTATTTTAATTTTGAAGATTAACTTTTTATATTATTATTATTTTTTTTTTTGTCATTCTACTATAGTTATCAAGATCACTCATTATTTTTATTATTTTTTTTCTCTTTCTCCCTCCATTTTGAATAAGTATCTAAATATAGTAATCAAACAGATCACAACAAAATTCATTTGCAAAAAGAAATAATCATGTATTTTGTAATGGAGAGAGTAATATTACTAATGAACATTAAAATCATTTCAATTATNAAAAAAATGAAACCCATCATCCTCATAGATGACCCGGGTAAAAGATGGTGGGTCATATTGGCATCTTCAACGAACACTTGATCCGACATATCCAAGGACTCAAATATATGCAGAAACATTATTTTCAGTTGCACGATCATGTGCCGTGACTCGATGCATGGAAAGATAGAAAATCATATTAAAAAAGTAAAATAAAATAAATAAAAGGCACAAACAACCACTCTTTCAACTTTCTTTGGGCAGAACAAGGCGGTCTTGGCCTTCTATCAGCTTTGCGGACCGAATCACATCCCCAGATTTGATCTCAGATAAAGTTTCACGTCCAGCAGTCGTGTAACTGCGCATAAGGTTAATTCTATCTCTTTAAGTAACAAAAGTTAAACCTGGTAATTTCCTTTATCTTATTGTCAGCACAAAATCATCTTTCAACTAAAGCATGTATACCGTTAAAACAAAACATACCCAAAGACAGAAAATTGGCCTTCGTCAAACGATAACCCTCCTAGGCCAGCCTGTCCAAAAAAACGAGCACATTTACTCAATTCGATCAAATTTATGTACATATATTTATATGCGGGAGAATAAGATGCAACTAAAAGTCTAAAACTGCTCACATTTCTCTTGTCGTACAAATAGAAGAAAAACTGATTTGGGGAAGAATACTCTTCAGAGACCTCACTATGAGCCATGACCACTGCACCATAAACTGATAGTGGAAGCACAGGCAGCTCACCATCCTTTTAGCTCAAAAAATTCAAATGTCTCTCATCCAAGGAAAACAAAAAATAAAGCAGTGTGAATAAAAAGAATAGTCGTCAATAAACCTGGACACTGAGTGTAGTTTTGTAGAGCGGCTCAAATTGGCCAGCCGGCTTTATTTCTAAGGGGAGACTATAACCCTTATCCTTTGCTGCATTACCATCTGAGAGAATAGCTTGATCTGTGCAATTAAGCTTCACCCCATCATAAGCCCCATCAACCACCTACAATATACTAATAGAATATGAGCTAGCAAAACATTTCTTTAATGAGCAGAAGATGCGTACAGATTATCAAATCTGAATAATATTGGATGTTTCTGCTGTCATTTTCTCTGGCGGTTAACATTTGGATGTCGATCGACTAAAATATCTCCATTCTGAGAGAAATTTATTTTGAGCATTGTCCCTCTTTAGTGGAATTAATTAACCAATAACCAACCATTATGGGATTTTTGAGCATTTGAAGCAAATGCAGAAAGGGTGAATTATGTTACATTCTTCCTTTTTGTTGTTGACCACAAAATTTCTATTATTTGTATTTGTGCTAGATCATCATGCCATTTGTGTTTTTACTTTCATTCCTGAAAATCTAAGTACTTTAATCACTGAGGTGGAATTCAAAGTGGAAATTTGCTGAACTAGCATCATATATTAGCAACATGAAAATTTATATTCTAAACGGACTCCAGTCTCGTAAATTGAAAAATAGCAGGTACAATAATGAGCGTAAGATTTCTTCTGCTCATGCTCGGTAACTAATGCTAGATACAAAATAGAAAGCAATAAAAGAACACCGCAATTAATATTTTGTTGCGTAAGAATAACGGGAAAGAAGATGAAGTTTGGATTGCACTACCTTACCAGTTTTGCAAAGTTCCCTGCCGTAAGAGGCGCTGAGTACCCATCTAACACAACCTAAAGAACAGATTAATTAGTCAGAAACATGCAACTCATTGATAGTTAGTGATAAACATGTCATGCATTGTTAAAACTAGAAACTAAACACAGATTAATGTGAAAAACATACACCATTCTTAATTCTTAGAGTTTGACATAATGCAAGAGTACTCACCGTGATTATATATTTGCTAACATAAACAGATTATAAGTCAACTGGACTAAAGCAAGATGAACAATATTTGACACAATGATGCAGTGTACCTGAATTACTGCGGTGTTTCTGGGTTGACCTGCAGCTTCAGGAGAAAAAGTTGATCCATTGCCTTTTTCGATTGCAAATTCAACAACTGCTCTTCCTGTAAGCCTAAGAAAATTGGAGAAGTATCAGCCATTGCATGTATACTGCCTTGTTCACGGGTTATGCTGATAACATCAATTCAGATGCAAAGCAAACATGTCATATGGTAAGTTCTCAATAAATATAGAGATAGTTATACAAGCAACTCTTGAGGCTTCCATATTTACAGAAGAACCCAGAGAAGTTATAATAAATGAATAAATAGAGGATTGATTCCATCATGTATTTTTCCATTCATAAGACGAAAAAGCAAGGGAAAAGATATGTGAAAATATCTCCCCACAATCACAAAATGAGACAGGACCTTCAAACCTGAGAAAGAAAAAACCCTCAAAATCTCTGTTTTTTCTTTCAATAATGTAGAAATTTATTTGAGTTCTTTCATATCTACACTCCATATCTGGGATAATTTTTGTAGCTGTCCTATCTACATATTGAAACACACAATCAGGTGCCAAAGACCTAAATGTATTGAAAGAGAAGGGTAAAAACTAGTAACTTCAATATATAATGACTGAAAGTGTGTCAGATGATCACCTAGGGTAATTTAGGTATTGCTCAGGCAACAGAAATGACAACCCTGGGGCCTGTTGACAAATACATCCTTCATACATCACAGATCAATTGTGAACACGTTACTCGTCAATTTAGAGAAAAAAGCAAACTCAAAATGACAGGTACATAAATATGCAGCATTTCTTTTTCTTTCTTGGATTGCTTTTCCTTTTTCAAACAAAATTTCTATACTAGCATTTGAGTTGTCCATCTAAAAGTGCCATGAAGTTTAAATTATTAGCTTCTGCAGTTTTTCAAAAGCAACCACAAAGGGTACCTGTAACAACTCCAACTGTGCAACAGTATCCAGAGTAGATGCAAGGCCGACGGATACTTTATCCGCATCTTTATCTTTTATGCTTTGAAGAAGCTTTTTCAACCCATCCTAATGATCCAGAAAAAAATATCACCTTATACTTTCTCTGATTACCAACAAACCAACTACAAATTATCATACAAAGTTTTCCTACATTTAAGAAAAGAATTTGATAAAGAAAAACCCAAAAGGAATTTCAAAGACAGAAAACCAAAGATAAAATTGAGGCAAATGAAAGTTTTCTGCTTGCAATTTCGACTTCAGCAGAGACTTAGTCGTCGATAACAACAAAACAAAATTGAGTATACTTCTTGTACTGATGAAATGAAGAAAATGCAATAATCTAAATGAAATCATAATGAAGACCTATTTCAAACAGCCTTACGTGATTTAATATTTATTTGTGTTGAACACTACAAAGAATAAGCACTGACAGTCTTAATATAATAATTGCCAAATGAATCCCGAGTCCTGGCATTCAAGTTATGAAGAAGAGCATTATAGGAAAAATAACTTTCCATCCTTTTTTCCTATAGTACCTCCCCATCTGTGAGAGAACCATAGAGTGCAGAACCCATTTCTCTAGATTCAGCTGGCATGCTAGACAAAATGGATTCTTTTTCGTCAACAGCAATCTGAAAAAATTGGAACTCAAAGCTACTTTCAAGAGCAGTAAAACTAAGAGGCGGTTAATGGGAAGGAAATGAGGATAATGATGATTAAATGAAGGATGAAAAGGACTTACCTGCAAAAAATGAAATTTAAATCATTCATAGACTCGTTTTCTTTTTTCGTAAGGATTTTTTTTATTGAAAATCGAAATGAAGGAACATATCCTAATAATATAGTGGTCATAACTCATAACTAAGAAATTGTGGATTACATCCACCCACTGTAGTAAGCAAACAAACAAACACAGATTGATGAAAGAATATGACAAGACCCAAAATCTTTGAGAAGCCCAGGTGAAAATGAGGATATATTTAAATAATAACTGATTATACATTCTTAGCCTAGACAACTGGTATTCATGCATAGACAACAACCAGAAATAAATGAATGACATACTAAAACGCGGATCAAGTCATAAATGTAAATTTATGTAGAAGAAGGTGCATGTTTACCCGAATGCATTTGTACAAGAATCTAGCATTACCTTGAGAGATTTTTGTACATTCCCTTCCATTGTTCCATATGGTTTCCTCTGTGGAATCCTCAGCAAGTACGATATGTCCTCCAGAGAATCCTTTTAACAGAATCATAAAATTGTAAATATTATTTTTGTTTATTCCAACTGTGAGAACAGAAATTTATTACAGCTGTACCTGAATAGCTTTCATATTCGCGTTAGCAGGGATTGCTCTTCTCAAAGCTAGTTCTCCAGTTCGTGGGATTTTCGTTTCAGGAGAATAAAGAACTGCCTCAGCATTAGGTATGAACCGAGAATCGTGGCCTGTCAAAGGAAACGGAGATGCCAGCTGAAGGAAAAGAAAGACAGTTGCACAGGCCCTCTCAAGCTGCTTGCCTCCTAGTTCATTCCATGACATTAAGCTGGAGCTCTGATTTTGCGCATTCATTGAATCCTGCATGAAATAATAGCAATACTTGTAGAGAGATGGAGATGTTAATGCTGGAAATAAAGTAGCTTCTTTTTTCTTTTTTGATGTGCAAGCCTTTTAGCCTACTAAAAGAAAGAACAAGACCCTCTGGTCAGCATTGCCAACAAGCTAGGGACATCATCTTCCAGTAAATAGTCCGGCTACTATAATAAGAGAGCCATTAGCTTTGTCGAGATCAATACTTTTCAGATACGAAAATTAATGGCCTGCAACATTAGTTGAATTAATTCAATTGGC